AGCTACAAAAGCAGGTGAGCCCCCTGGAGGGACGGGACGGGGCGGGACCCCGTGACCCCTCCCCGCCGCCTGAGGGCTGCTGCCTCCCTCTGCCCCCCAGGTTTCTGTGTGGGAAGGAGATCAAGAAGAAGAAATGCATCTTTCGCCTGCGGATCCGCGTCCCGCCGAACCCCCCCAGCAAGGTGCTGCCAGAGAAAGCCCCGGGCGTGGACGAGAGCGGCTCCTGCGAGCTGAAGAAGAAGGGGAAGAGCAAATATGGCCACAAAGATGGGTGAGAGACCAAGCTCAGCCGCCTGCCCGCAGCCCCTGGGGTACCCCACGGCCTCACCCCCCTTGCTTTGCAGCAGCTCCAGCAGCAGAAGCGGCGAGCGGCACGGCGCAAGAGGGCCAAGTTCCTGCTGGAGGATGCCATTCCCAGCGTGAGTCCTTCACCCCTCCTCTGCCTGACTGTCCCAGGGTCTGGCAGCCAAGCGGGACCCCTGGTCCCATCCCTGGAGAGCTCCTCGTGAGGTTCCTCAGCTCCTGCAGGCAGGGAGAGCCCCCACCCATCACCCTGGGGTTTGCGAGTGTTCTGTGCCAAGCCAGCTTCCCAGGGGCTGCGGGGCCACCAGGAGGAGCAGGGTGGTGGCCGGGCAGAGGGTGGCGATGCCAGGGCCATGGGCAGCACTGCTCTGCTCTGCAGGGACGAGTGAGCTTGTTTCTGTGGCACAGAGTGACTTCACCTCGGCCTGGAGCACCAACCACCACCTGGCCAGCATCTTCGACTTCACACTGGATGAAATTCAGAGCCTGAAAAGGTCCGTGTGGCCAGGCCTGGGGGCGTGGGTGGCAAGGAGGAGGTGGTTTCAATGCCCAAGTGCAAAGGGCTAGGGAGGTGCTGGGGGCTGTGGTGCCAGGCTGGGGCCAACACTGCATCCCGTCCCCAGTGCCAGCTCAGGACAGACTTTCCTGTCGGATATGGACTCCACTGATGCTGCCAGCACCTCGGGCTCAGCCACCACAAGCCTCTCCTACGAGTCTAGGTGAGGGCTGTGACCCCTCGTCCCCTTCCAGAGGGGTCCTGGTGGCACAGCCAGGGGTGTGAGAGCTGCCCCTCTCCACCTGCAGCACCCTCTTGTCCTGACACAGAGAGGTCCCACAGTGGGCAGCCTGTTCTCCCTGTCCCCCAAAACAGGCTGATGGTCCCAAAGCCATCAGTCCTTGCTGGGCTTGCCCAAATTTATATAGCCAGGCTGGATCAACGGGCTGAGGCCAATGAGATGAGGTTGAACAAAGGCAAGTGCTTGGTCCTGCACATGGGTCACAACAGCCCCCTGCAACACTCCAGGCTTGGGGAAGAGTGGCTGGAAAGTGCCCAGTGGAAAAGGCCCTGGGGTGCTGGTGGACTGCTGGCTGGAGATGAGGCA